ACGAATTCAGATATGGGATGAAATCGGATAAGAATGAACGAGTTTAAGAGTTTTTAAGAGTTTAAGAGTTTTAAGAGTTTTTAAGAGTTTTTAAGAGTTTTAGCCAAATGCTTTATAAGATAGTATAGATAAGCTTCAATTTTATTTATACTTAAATGCATTTCAACTTTTATTATAACGTTTTCTTGCATTTACTATTTTATCTTGTATTTATAATATTATTATTCGTTTACTAGGCAGATTTTTGCTCAACCGAGGTTTGTTTTGTTTTACCTTGGCAGGTTCAAGATCTAACCCGGGGGAAGCATGAACGGTCGAGATGGCTTACGATGCAGAAAGAGTAGTTTTAGATCAGTACTTTTGCTATGTAAATATGTTAAGCATAAGAATACTATTTAGTTGTAATGTAATCTTTTGAAAGTTATGTTAAAGCTCTATACTTTAATCTATATGTTTTTGATCCGTTTTCAGTTGTGTCACGCCTCATCTTAGGTCCAGTAGGATGAGGGTGTTACATTGCTAATCTATCGAATATAATCAACTTTTTGTTCAAATATTTAAAGAAATTATACATCATTATTTGCTTTTTAAATTCTTCATAATAAAACATTATTTTAAAATGGTAGAGAAGAATTTAAGAGCACCTTCTCCAAAAGATTCCCAAAAACTTATTTAAAACAGAGAACCAACAGTTAAAATATTTAAAAAAATTATATTTATCTTTAAGAGATTCTCTATTTTGGAGAATTCAACATTGATTATTTAATATAAAAATATTTCATTCATCTATTAAAATATTACTAGAAGGGTACTCGCACAATAAAACAAGATACATCTCGATTTTAATATTTGTTTTTTTTTTTTTTTTGTCTCAGTCGATGTTATAATACGGTTATATATGGTTTTGAGAGAACGATAATGTTTTTATTTTTTGAATAAAATATAAATATAAAGATATATAAAAAAAATATTGATATTGGTACCAAACTAACTATTTAAAATTTATCTTTTTTGTGTATTTTTTTAATTCATTTTTTTATTTTTGGTTTAATAATATAATTTTTTTATAAAGATAATAATTAAGTATTTTGTTAAAACTCAATGATTATCATAATCATATTTTTATTTTTTATATTTAAAATGAGATGTTTATTGTTTATTTGATTATGGTTATATGCAGTTAGTTACACGAATTCAAACATGACATTTTAATAAATTGTACTTATGCATAATTTACTTGTAATCTTGAATTTTAACTAATATGCATCAACAAACAGTACTTCATGCATAAAAAAATGATTTTTAAAAGTTTTTGTCAAATGTTTTATACTATAGTATAGATTTCTCTATCTAAATATTTATTTTCTAAGTTTCTTATTAATTGGTAATATTTTTGAATTGCTTTCATATTTGAACAAAAAAAACTCTTCTCTCTCTATATATATCTATATTATATTAGAAAACATTTGACAAAAACTATTAAAAACCAATTTTTATACATGAAGTACTGTTTATTGATGCATATTACTTAAAATTCAAGATTAAAAATAATTTTGTATAAGTACGACTTATTAAAACTCTATTTTTAAATTTGTGTAACTAATTCCGAATAAACATAATCAAATACAAGATAAACATCCATTTTAAATATATAAAATCTAAAATATAATTAAGATAATTATTGAGTTCTAACATATTCATTATTATTTTTATAAAAATTTATATTATTAAATTAAAAATAAATTACATTATTATTAAATCTAAATTAAATTATAATAAAAAATTAAATTAAAAAAATTACATAAAAAATGAAATTATTAATAATAAAAACAAAAAATAAAAACTAAATATTAAAAATGGAGATTTATTTCCATATATTAGGTGAGTATGTTTTTTATTTAAAAAAATAGGGAGTGCTAATGGCACCTTTTTTGATGTCAGAATCAGATTATTTAAGCATTGGAAATGTAAAAAACATGTATTAATTTTGATGTATATAAGGAAAAACTGTATGAATAAGAATCATTAAGCAATGCATAGGGGTGCCTTTAGCACACCCTTTAAAAATAGTTTTAAAAAGCTGTCGAACAAAATATTGATTTAAAAGTCCTATTTTCTTCATTTTTCCTTGTTAAGAAGTGGAGATGCTCTGACGCGTAGTTGCAATTGGAATTGGAATCGTAAAAAAGGAAAAGTCCATGACTTGGTCTTCTTCGCCTTCCTCCATATCATTCTTACCTTGTCAATAAAACCAACCACCGAATCAATCTGCAGCTCCATCTCTCACCATAACCTCCATCGATCAACCTCATATCCATCACTTCAACTCTGGTAACTTTTTTCTTTCTTCCACCTCAAATTTCAAATATGTGCTTTTGATCATCTGTAATTCATGTTTTTTGATGTTTTCTGTATCAAGATATGCGCTACTTGATTTTTTTATTAATATTTGACTTATGTGGATATATGAGGAGTTTTATCTGATTTTGAATCACAATAAGTTGATTTATTGTATTTGTTTCGATATGGATATTTCAGTTTATGAAAATTCCAAGTTTCGTAAGTGTATTTGAGCTTCAATTCATTTCTCTTTTTCCTTTTGATAGAATATTTTGATTCCTCAGTTGCTGTGGCAATTGCGACTTTTGAAGTATGACTATTCATCAAGTGTGTGCAAGTACCCTAATTTTGTATAGCAAAATCAATGCCATCGAATAATTGTGATGATTATGATTGGCTAGTATGTAAATTTTGACTTGAAAAGTTGCATAAGGAGGAGGAACCTTGCAATTTCTGTTGGATGCGAGGATTGTCATGTTCTTTTAAGCTCGTAAGTTTGACTTTGATTTAGGTAACGATTGGTGTGTGATATGAGATCTTATTTGTCTTGGAAACTTGATCTGAGAGGTTGTTAATAGGTGTTGATTTGGATGATGTTGTCTGAATGTAAAATTGTTGTTACAATATATGTGTTCTTCTGGTCTTGCTTCTTGTAATGCAAATATGAGTATCTCACTGCAAGCAGCTGTGTTTATTTCCTTTTGTTATAATGTTGAAAAATGGAATTCATTGTGAAGGTTTTTATTTCCGCCATGGAGGAGGGCACAAAGTCTGAGAACCATTTGATATCAGTTGCAGCTTTTGTTGAAGGCGGAACTCAGGATGCCTGCGATGATGCTTGCAGCATATGCCTTGAATCATTCTCTGAAAATGATCCTCCCACGGTACATATTCAGGATTGCTTTTCTTCCAAAAAATAACAGCTTTTTTTCTGTCTACCAAGTGTTTATGTTTTTCTTCCTTCAGGTTACGGGTTGCAAGCACGAATTTCATCTCCAGTGCATTCTTGAATGGTAATCTTCAAATGTGCTGTATATTACCTTTCAAGTAAAAGGCTAAAGGCTTAAATGATATTGAAACTACTGTGTAGGCCAATTTAAAGAATAATATATGAAGCTGTTTGAGATGTGTGAAAAACTTCTATTGAAATCTGAATACAGTGTACCAGTTTATATACAGGCAGCCTTTCCCTATAAATCATCCTCTAAGATTTAAACGGTCCCTATAAATCAGCCCCTAAGAGATAATGCAAATCCTATCTAATAAATAAAGAATCAACAGAATATGTAATCGACCCCTAAAAGAATCAGCTAAAAATATATCGATATCCCTAGCTTCATTTCCTATGCTATATAGATAATATAGATCTATGGATAGATGTTGCATTGTCACTTGTTATAGCATCTTACATCTCCTTTTCTTAGGCTTTCATGACCCCTATTGTTTATTCAGATACTAATCTAATAATCTATAACCCTCAAATATTTGTACTCCACATGATTTCATACAGGTTGCTAATTATTTCCTGTTAGGACTACAAAATGAAGCTCATCATTTAGTTCAAGAATATCTCTTAGTGATTGTTGTATACCCTTTGCATAACCTGGCTTCCAGTAGATTTTATCTTAATTAGAGAGGAGAAATATCAAACACGAGGTGCTTCACTTCAGTTCTATCATTAACCTACTGCCCAGAATCTGATCATCAGATTGGTGGTAATGGGTTATAGGTTTTGTGGCCTTCATATATAGTGAGCACCAGCTTTCTCCTTGTTTGGAGTGTTATACGAGTAGATGCACTTGTCCATTGGAAAATGTAAATAACAGGAAATTATCTTTTTGCTCCCGAGGTGTCTAAAACCAAGGATCCAGGTGTTAATATAGGCTGTCTCATGTAAGTAATATGAATTCTGATACATGTTAACTCTCTTGTTAGGTTAGAGTTTTCTGGCATATTTCTGTTACATTTCAGGTTTGTATTGAGCTTGTAACCAGATATATTTTACCTGAAGAGTTAGAATTGCTGTTGATGATCCTTTCTTTAGCTTGTGATCATGGATGATGCTTTATCTTTACCAAAATATTCTTATTCATCGGCACTGTCATACAAGTCTCCATACCCTATCAAGCCTCAAATTGGTAAGACCATAAGAGTGGAAAACTTGGTTGTCTAGCTTCAAGCTGGCTTAAGTTTCTTCATCTATTAAAATTTAATTTTTCATTGCCAACGTTAAATGGGAAATAGCAACCTTAGCATCACTTAAGTTCTCTGTGATTCATTTACGTATTCAATACGTTGAGCTCCTCTATTTTACCATATCTTAGGTTCTGTCTCAATAACAATACGACAATGAAATCTACTAAAATTTAAATATTGCTTAGGCTAGAAGCTTTGTTGAACCAGAACTAAGATTTGTAACTATACAAACCAAGCCAAACCAGCCCAGTATATCCCACCATGAGGTGGGGTTGAAGGGGGTTTATGATGTACACAGACCAGACCTCTACCCCAAGGAGTAGAGCGGTTGTTCCCACGAAAACCCCTGGCTTGTGAAAATAACATTTGTAAATTTGTTTTGTGTCATTGCCCATTATGTAGGGTTTGGGATTAGGCTGTTTCATTGATCAAACACTTGGTGAGCGTCCAAGAGAGAAGCTAAGAGTGTACATTGGAGTGAACTTTCAAGTGCTGATTTCTAATGAACATGATTTTAAGAAGAATGCTTTTGGTTAGTAGGCTGTAAACATTTGATAGGGTTGGCATTTTACTATATTATTTTTCATTGGGAGTCACATTACAGAAGTCACTATCTGGTCATTATCAGCTAGATGAGCATTGAGTAGTTTTGAGTGTTCAAGTCCTAGTTGGCATTGAGTAGTTTCGAGTCATTGTATGAAGATGGGCTTAGGTGGGAAAAAAGAAAAGAAAAGAACATTAATTAAAAAAGACATGTTTTTCCTTGTTATATAAGATGCTTTACTTTGTTCTTCTGGTCATAAGAGAACCTTATTAAGCACATTCTCAGTTGAGTTCATATATGCTGAAACTGGCACCCATTAACTAAATTTACAAATCATGGCAACTTGAAACTGTTGAGTAGTGAACTGCATGGGTATACTCTCCTGGTGAACTTAACTTGTCAGTTTCCCATCAGAAAGTTTCCTGCAAAAATGTTGTTTATTGCTTCTTCTAGTGAAGACCATTCATTTTTAATGAGGTTTCCGTTAACCATATTCATAATCATGTTTGATGAATTACAATTTACCAAAATATGGATTGAATGGAAGCTTGATGATGAATTCCTAATAATAATTTGAAGCCAGGTAGTTTTTAATTGCTGAATTATTAGATAGATGATATAGTGTGGTAATGGCTGTTCTTCCATCATCTTGAACGTGTCACTGTAAATGCTAAGAGCATCTCCAGCAGATTCTGTATAATTTTTCCAAAATGGAAAAGCAAAAGTTAGAACTCCAAAAAGAAGTTACATTCAACTCCAACAGTTTCTTGGTTTTGGAGATCCCCAACATTAATTATTCTGTTATAACATTCAATAGATCTAATATCCCAACAAATTTTAAAATAGGATTTATATGAAAATGATAATAGATTCAAGTTGATTGGTGGTGACAATAAAAAACCATTTCTCTTCTTTCAGCATTTAGTTTTGGAGAGTTTTTCCAAATTTGGAGGTTTTTTTATCCTCTCTTACGCTGTATTCATTTTGGAAGAAGTTTTGGAGGATCAGTTGGAGCAAAAAGGTAGGTTAAAATCTCCAAAATCTTTATATTTTTCCATTTTGGAGAATCTGTTGGAGATGCTCAAACATTGTCACTGTGAAGAAAAATAAGTAATTTGAATTGACATTGACTACGTTGATGGTTGTATTAAAGCCGGAACTAAACAATATCTCAAATTGGAAAGCAGTTGCCCGCTCTGATTGATTGTTGTCTAACAGTGACAATTCTAGCTGGATGGAGAGAGTGGATTCCTAGAGTATGATAGGTAAAGAAATTAACAAGCGCAATTCTTAGGTTTGAGAGTTTATGGGAGGATAGAGGATCAAAATAGGAACAAATGATGTAGTTGGGAACCAAGAAATTGTTTTTCCAGAGGCATCATTCTCTTTCCAAAGAAAAGATTTTTTCCCACCAATTATACTTTTATTTTATTAAGGCTTAGGGTCAATCCTACTTTTAGTTTTATGAAGATGGAGAGAAGCGGAGATAAAGGGTTAAGGTTTGAGCAGCAGAGGTTGGGGAGTTCAATTCTTAAGTTTAACCAGAGAAGAAATGTGCATGTGCATAATGTCGGGCTGGGCGATGTGCTGGATGGAAGATCCGTTTTTAATTTAATTAGATGAAGAATCACTTTCTATTTTGAGCGATTCTTCTTTTAGGATTTGAGTGTTGAATAAAACGTCAGGGGAAAACCTGTTGATTGAGCAATAGTCCAAGGGATGAAAACAAATAAACATCTGCTAAGCCCTATGTTTGTGAATTTAATAATTTTATTCAAGACATGTATGGTTAGAGGTTTATTTGGTGCTTCAGATGTGTATTCAATTCTCTTTCTTGAAATTTACCAACACAGATTGCGTAAGCGTCGACCGAACATGGTTGTTTACTAAGGGGTCGTTTACCTAACACTTACCTGGTAAACGCTTACCAGTAAATTCAAAACTGTCGCTTACTTGACGGATAAGACTGTAGTCTACCGAAACGGCATCATATGCAACAATTTACCCGGTAAACACTTACCATGATAAGAGTCGTCACCCTCACTTACCGGATAAGACTCTCGGTCCTTGCACTCGCTCTTACCGGGTAAGATTCTTGGTCCTTGCCATATTCATCCAATAATGTAATGTGACTTGGTAAGCGTTTGGTAAACGGCCCCCAAGTGTTTTGTAGTGAGTGCTTACAGATAAAATACCTTTACATCTAATACTGACCGGGTAGGTGCTGTTGTCAGCACCATCAGTCAGACCATTCTTTAGGTAAACTAGCTAATGCTGACCGAGTCAGCACCTGTCACCATTAGGTCAACAGGCACTTCTTATCTATTTGTTGGATATCATTTTTATTAGGTAACACTGTCCTAATAGTTCTTGAGGATCCCCCAAGTAAAAATAACTAGAAGCATGCATGTAATAACACTTCCAACTGAAACTTTGTTAGCGTTAATCCTGTAGGTGTCAAAGGAGCTCTCAATGCCCAATGTGCTGGCAGTCCATCAGCTTGAAGGACCCGAGCAGGTTACATTTTTCAGATTGAACAGGAGGTCAATGATCGCATTATTTCCCTTCATATTCTAAAGTAGGGAGAGGAAGGCACATGCAGATTCCAAGATTGTGTCTTTCTCTCTGCACTTGCATGGTGGAGGAAAAGAAAATAATTGTGATCATTCATCTCCCATCGATACTTCTTTTTCTTCTTTTCACAATGTACTGCCGGTTCTTACATCTTGATATCTTAATTGCCAGTCAGGAGTTGCTCAATGCAATAGAGCAGGAAAGAAGTATTGCAAGTAACCCGTCTATGAATGCGACAATATTTCATCATCCAACCTTTGGGGACTTCGAACTACAGCATGTTCACTTCTATCTTTTCATTCTTAGTCTTAGGCTATGTCTAGCAAACTAGTTGATAAGCTAACCGTTGGCTTTGTTTGCTAATAAGCTAGTTGTTAGCTGCCAAACTAATCATGTTTCATGACTTCGGTCAAAACTAGTAGTTAGCTTTGTTGGCTAATAAGCTAGTTTTCTTAAGTATTAAGATTTATATACGGCAAGTGAACACACACACCCTCCTGATCTTTGGTGAGGTTTGAACCCCTGACCTCATTAGAGGCATGGCTTCTATCGGTAACCCGGATACATCTAGGCCAAAGGCCCTTTGGTAATTAATAAGCTAGTTGTTAGCTATTAAACTAGTCATATTTGATAAAAACTAGCTGACAAGTTAGATGACAATGTAAAATGATCTGAAATGGCATGTTGAAATTAAAAGAAAAAAAAATATAAGGCGATAATTGGAAAAAAAAACCCTATTGAAATGCCACTTGAAATAGTCTTTTAAAGAGCTGGTTTATGACTAACCAAACCGGGCCTTTTTAGTAACCTCAAAATATAAGCTATCTTATATTGGCCAACATGGCCTTGACCTTTTACTCTCATGAACAAACGAGTGAATGTGATCACACTTACTAAATTTACGTGATCTCATTTCATGATGCAGTTGCCTGTTAGTGCGACAGATGCCGAGCTAGAGGAGCGAATAATTCAGCACTTGGCTGCTGCTGCAGCAATGGGTAGGGCCCGTCATATTGCTAGGAGGGAAGGTCATAGAACTCAAACATCAGTCCAGGGGCGGCCACGATATTTGGGTTTCTCAGCACAACCTAGTGTACCTTCCCCTACTCGACCTACTTCAAGCGATGATGTTGAATCTACCCCTGCGATTGGCGGAAGCCCGTTGGTAACAGTGCATGAAGAATCTGTACGAGGGAGTGCAGCATCATCCTCCGTCCATGCTAGTGAACATCCTGTTTCACCGTCTGTCTCAAGCATAGTTCCTGCACGTCCACATGAAACTCCCTCAACCGACTGGTACCATACTTATCAACTTGAATCACAAATATGTTGAAAGCTAATTAAATATTAAAAAAAATTGCCAAATTGCATGACATGAAAATGGAAGTACTACAGTCTGATTCCTATTTTGTGCAACATACTTCCAAAACCTTCATTTTGGTACTTTAGATGTGATATCTCAAATGTTTAGGTACTTGATTTACATCCGAGAATGCATGAAAATACAATGAACTTTGGTACAATTCTTATTTTGTGATATGTATTTTTGTCTAAATGTTTGAGATATCACATCTGAGGTAAAGAATGTATCAAAATGCAACAAAGTTTCAAAATTTCTATTTTGTACCGCCTATCTTGACCTGTAACCTGCTAATTTGTAATATTTGATGACGTGGATACCCGTTTACGAAATGTTCAAGAAAGGATTATGGCGAGTCGACAATAAACTTGACATCCACATCATCAAATGTTACTAGATCAATAGGTTAATGGTCAAATGGGTAAAAAGGTTGAATCTTTTTGTTATACTGAATAACAAATAGCACTACACAAAATAAGAATCAGATCAAAGTATATTGCATGAAACATGAGCCCTTTAAAGAAAACAACTTTCGTTTTCTCACCGTTCATAGAACCTGAGATACAATCGTCCCTTTTAGCAGGTCGGTTATGCAGTCTTCCCCAAACAACCAAGATCGAGCAGGGCCTTCGGAACTGCACTCCTTTTCAGATTTTAAAACCCGAGTTAACGCAATATCAATGAGGTAATCAATAACAAACTCCAATACCATTTCCATGAATGTTCATCCTGGATACTTTCTTCTAACTCGTCTTTAATTTTGTTTCATCACAAAAGATACAAAGAATCTATTACAAAAACCACAAAGAATTGGAAGGAAAAATTATTCTCCCGTAACAGCAGTGCCACCGATCATGGTTCCACGGATCCAGGAGAGGGCAGTGCAGGCATTGCAACATTATCGCGTATGATGGACCATCTTCAACACGACTTGGCACCACCCATCTCAAATAATAGTCCGCTTACTGATGAACGCCGCCAACAGAACACCATGGCAACAACCGCCACCAATTCTGCTAGTCGAAATCAGACAGCACCACCAAGTTCTACTGTAGAGTAAGTGACCTTTGGAACGCTATCAACCGAACGCTTCTATTCGTTAGTTAGTTACCGTGGTCTAAAAAGTTTTTTTTGTTACGAACTTCATATAAACGACTGAATCCGTTCTTGTTTGAAGTATTTGACTCGATACTTGATATCTATAAGATACTCGTTTGGGATGTCATGTTTACCCTTTTCCTCACGTTATTCATAAGTCGCTTTGGCCGTTTGTTGTTTTTCCATTAAGATGTGTAGTATTATTAAGTTATCTGCATGAATTAAGCTAATTGTTGTTTGTTTATTCTGTAGAATAAATAATCTGAATTTACGTAAATGATTATTTTATCCTAAAATCTAGATTAAAGCAACTAATGAAAAAGTTAATGATTAGTTACCAAAATAATATAGGGAAAAGTTTATAAAAATCCATCGGTTAGTTTCTAAGGGTTGGGTTTACGTGAGACCAAAGGTTTTTCGTGCAACCTGTAAGATCAATTTATGTTCATTGATCAACTTTATAAGCTAATGATCTAATGGTCTAAAATTGGACGGTGACAGTTTTGTGATTATTGAGAAGTCTCGTGGCATTTATGAATGTTCAGATTGTCAGATTGTAGATCTAATCCAAGGGTTGAGAATTGGTCTTACGAAAAACCATTGGTCCCACATGATCCCAAGTCTAGTCTCTAAACTATTTTTTTGAATGAAAATATCATTGAACTTTCTTATTTTGAAGGATTAAGTCTTTGAACTACTTTTTTTAATGAAAAATCATTAAACTAATACATTTTGAATGATTAAAACTCTGAATTTTTTCTTACAAATACATAAACCATCGAATTTTTACTACTCGGTTAATGTAACTTTTTTTATTAAAAGAATGTAGGTAACCAATTTCTAGAAATGTTATGATTTATTTACTAAAAAAATGTTAAAGAACTTAATAAATCAAAATAAAAAAGTTTAATGATTTTTTTATTCAAAAAAAAATTTAATAGTTTTTTATTAAAAAATTGTTTAATAACTAAACTATTCAAAATGAAAAAATTTATTTACTTTTTTAAACTTTTCCCAACAATATATGGTAATTGAATATAACTTGCTAATTCAATTATAATTTAAAAAAGTGGCCGTTTATCAAACGCTTATTCGGGTAAGCGTTTATCAAGTTACATTATTTTATCGGATGAATATGGTAAGCATCAAGAATCTTACCTGGTAAGAGCGAGGCAAGGACCAATAGTCTTACCCAGTAAGTAAGGGCAACAACTCTTACTACAATTAGCTCTTACCGGGTAAATTGTTGACTAAAATCTTACCTGGTAAGTAGGTGTTAATATTGAATTTTTTCCGGTAAATATTTACCAGTTAAGAGTTTGGTAAACATCCCTAATGAAAGCCATAAGATTAAAGTATTTGTTGCGCGTTTGTAATTAGTTAAAGACCAATCTCCTTCCGTTCTCTTTTTAAAGGATTGAAAAATCATCAATCGTTCAACCGGTTCAATTTGCAAGATGTCAAAAAAGGTTACCGGTTTGATCGAGAGTTTTTGTGTCAAAACAATGTATAGTAGGTTTTTTGGTACAACCATTGAAACTTTTACTACATATTCACTTCCCTTAATTGATTACATCAGGCCAATTGCAGTTGTTGCTTGCTGCCATAGATGGGTAAACCAGGTAACCGTCCGGGCCTATAAGCGGTTACGGCAAACCTAATTAAGGTCAGTGGCGGATGTAATCATCTAAGCCAGTCCCCGGTCCGGTTATGGCCTCAAAAAAATAGGGCCGGTCGTAACTGGAGTAGACGATAACCGGTCATGAAGGTTTGGTAATGAATTTGTTTCTCCTTCTACAGCTCGCGTGTGTGTATGTATTATAATACCCAAATCTTTTCAATGTTTATATGATGAAAATTACATTAAACTTTGATATTTTAATGTCAAAATACAAGTATTTTGCTGGAGTAAGACTTTGGTAGAATCCTATGCAAGAAAACCAAGAAAAAGGACCAAAGCGGGGCAAAAAAGTGGTTGCCCTTACCTAGCTCGCGACCCAAGTTGCGGCCGTGGTTGCGCGGCTAACTATGAACAACTTGAGAAAAAAAAGGTCCTGCGATTACGCTTGCAACCTAGCTTGCAAGAGAAGTCGTGCAGAGGGAATAAGTTCGTGAGTTTTGGACTCGGGCAACCAACGCAGTGACTTAAGTCGTGGACATGGTCGCATGAACCTCCAGGGGAAATAAAAGGTCATTGTTTAAGGTATTAGGCACTTTTCTTATCCTCGTTTATCTATCTTCATTGATGGCAATTTAGGGAGCTTCAAAGGTGGCTTTTGAGCATCTTCCAAGTGCATTAAACTCTAGTATTTAAGAGTTGCAATAAGTGATTCGTGACCTACTTCTTCCCTCCATTTTGCTTAGTTTTACGTTTTCTTCGGAACTTAATTTATAAGTTCAATCTAACTCTTACAAGCTTTTATACATGTCAAGATGTTGTGATTCAGTCTCCTAAACATTCCCTTCAACATATTTTACTTTATATATAGATTTGAGCCATTTTGGGTGTTTCAGAGATTTGGGGGTTTTTACTCGTACAAGATCAATATTTGACCATTTGATTTTATATAAAAGTGGGTTATTGTTCTAAATGTGATATTTGAAAGTATGAAGATCACGATTTGAGTGAGTGTATGATTTTGAAAGATCCATGAACTATTTTGAGAAGGAATATTATTAACACTTGAAAGATGAAATTTCCTTTGGATATTTGGAACTATGAAATCATAAGGATTTTTAATACTTCATTTTGTCTATTAATTGGACCTATGAGGGTTGGAAACCCTTTTGGTTAATTTTGGATTTAACAATTAAATGATGATATTATGTGATAGAAACTATGAGTTTAATCTGTTAGGTTCAAATTTTGTGCTTAATGTGTTGTATCCAAGCTTTAAACCTTAGTGTTTTTCTCTTGTATATATATAGGTGCTTTGTTTGTAATCTTTAGTGTGTGCTTAGAAGAGATTTGTCATTTGTAACCATTGAAGATCTAATACGATTGGTGCTTAAAAGAATTCTCTCTCTACCATTTTCTACTCTCTCTCTACATTTCTACATTGGAAATTTGTAATCTTGAATTGAATTGTTATTGATTAATCTTTCTGGGATTATCAGTTGGTATCAAAGAAGATTATAGCAACTTAGAGAATTGGATTGATTTGAATCGAACCAGAATCAGACAATTGGACATTTTCTTGATCGACACATTCATACTCATTGTTTTGAATCAATTTTTCATAATCTATTTGAATTTGTGTGTAAATTTGATTGATTTGTGTTCAATTTTTCATTTTGGGTTGATTAGAATCATTCATTTTCAAAATTGATTCAATTTCATGTATCAGTTTTGAAGTTTTTCTTGATTCGAGTTCTTCAATGTTCTTGAATTGTACTTGAGTTTAAATCAAAATTGGACCAATTTGATTTGTTTTTTTAAACGAATTGGTATTAAAAAACTTGTTTTTGAGCATATCGCGAATCAATCTGTACAAGTTTTATCCATTTTTTGAGTGATTTTGAGCCAATTTCTAGAAAATCTGTCCAAATACCCCTCATCGCCTGTTGTAGATGTTCATCAAGCGATAAAGATCTTCATCGCCTGTTGAATTGTTTTCATCGTTGGTATTTTGGGCGATTAGAAGTGTTGTCTGATAAGGAGTTTGATTGATCAAGGCTTGTGCGATAAGGATTTTGATCGGTTAAGTGCAATCCAATAAGGAATTGTATCCGGTCAAAGATTGTCCAATAAGAGCTTGTGATCGATAAAGGCGTGCCCGATAAAGGTTGTGAACGATAAGAGAAGTTGTGCCGATAAGATTTTTGGTCGATTAAAGGTTTGTGTGATAAGCAGGTTTGTCCGATAACCTGTGTTGATAGATAAAAGTGGTGTCCTATAATAGTTGTGTCTAATAAGGAAGTTTTGAAAGTGTTAAGTGTTGTCCGATTAGCAAAGTGATAATCTGGTTTCTAAGTTTTGAACTGTATTAAGATCACGTGCGATTAATCAATTTGAAGTATTTTGAAATGGCTTTTATGATTGAAAAAGAGAACAAAGAATTGAAAGAGAGTGTTTCTGAATTGGAAAAGAATTTGAAAGGGGAACAAGATAAATATGTTGAAATGTTTTATGAAAACCATTCAAATCTTTGTTGGGCCAAAGATATGGTTAAGGAAAATGAGCTATTTTTAGAAGAAAATAAGTGTTTAAAAGAACAAATTGATGAATTTTTTTCTACAGGTTTTTCGTCTGATTATCAAGAAAGAAATGTTGAGTAGTTAAAGAAAAATTCTGAATTGAGAACTAGAGTTTGTGAAGCTGAGAAAGCATTAAAGTGAGAAAGAAGAATTTTTGAAAAAGAAAAGAAGAAGAGAGATGAACTGGAAAAGTTGTTAGAAGCTGAAAGAAAAGAGTTTGAAAAGAAGAAAAATAAATTTTCTGATGTTAAAAAGAAGTCTGAAGCTGAAAAGAGGTTTAAAGAGGCTGAAAAGAAATTTGATATGGAAAAAAAGATGTTTGAAAGTAAGATTAAGGTTCTTCAGTTGAATAATGCAAAGTTTCAGAGAAAATATCTGAATTTGAGAAGATAATTATTTTGGAAAGAACTAAGTTTGAAGCTGAAAAGAAAGAATCTGAGAAGAAGTATCTAGAGATTTCAAAGAGCGTTGTTGCTAAGCAGAACAATTTGGATGAAGAGAGAAAATTATTTGCTAGTGAAAGAATGATTGTTGAGAAGAAGAATGTTGTTATAGCTAAGGAATTAACTGAGAAGAAGAAATGGTTAAATTTTGCCGTTGAGGATGAGAAAGGGGACTTGGAAAAGGAAAGAAATATTTTTGAAAAAGAAAGAAGTGTTTTTGATAAAGATAGAAAATGTTTTGAAAAGAAAAAGACAGATCTTGAAGGTAAGATTTCTAAAATTTTAAAGAAATTATCTAAACTAAATACTAATCTTGTAACTGAAAAGTAAGTGAGATTTGAGTTTAAAAAGAAATATGATTTAGTTACTGAAGAATGAGATCAGTTGTTAAAGAAAAAGAATTTTCTGAAACAAGTACTTCAAGCTCAACTGATTCTCCTTCTAAGTGTATAATCTGTATGAATGACAGTTCTAGTGTTAAATCCAACAGTTATTCGAGCAGTTCTAAATCAAGTGTTTCAAAGAACA